TTGAAAGCGTGGTAGGGCTACAGTTTCCTCCCTTGAAGAAGATAACTATCAAAATACACATAAATTGCTTTGATATCAGGCAGAGAATCTGTCATTTACAGGTTTTCTTTAGCTGTAAACGTATACAGCCTGGTCATCCTTGACTTTCACAAGGGGAAATCACCTTTCACATCAAGACCACTGCAAATACACCTATAAGCAGGAGGGTCACATCTCTGATAAACCACGATTTTGCCTGTGGTCCGAATTGAATCTGGTGATGAACTGACACCTTCAGAGGGATGGGGCAAGTACAAGAAAGTCCTTGCTGACTGGCCATCTGCATGCATCTCTCGGATTCCCTCTCGCAGTCTCTATACCAAAAAGATTCGGATGTATGGCAAATGGTTTGCTGCTTGACTTTCCGCAAAAGATAGAACATTTCTGCTGATTTTCTTTGAAATTACATAGAAGCTTCTCCTAAACAGTCAGTTATGTTCATGACTGATGGATCCCTAACTTTTTTTTTCTTTCTAGTTGCATACAGAGCAGGGAGATGTCAGGTGTGCCCTGTTTCAGGGAAAAAGCATGAAAAGCAAAAGTCAGAGATTTTCGCCTCTCACGAACTTCGTCAGCTTTGTGACCGAAAGGGGCTTGACGAAAAGCCAGAATCACAAGGACTGACAAGCAAATCAACAATAGGTAAGATTGCTGACATTATCATAAGGAGGAACTGGAGAAGTAGATTATTTTTCACGCATGGGCCAACTTCTAAAGCTAAATCTCAAAGGATACCAAACGTGTGAACAACACGCTCCATTAGCCCCTCCCTGCCGAGTATAACCTTAGCCCCATGAAGCCATCACCAGACTTGCAGATACACCTTCATCTTGGTCTTCGCAGATTCAGACAGACCAGAGGTTTTCATGAGTACCATGTGCATTTAATGTTTGCCAAAATTTCTTTTCTTGCGTTGGGGACTGGTGTAGCAATAACATACTTGGGAAAATAATTGTGAAACATTAACAAGTCCTTATTGTTAACAGGTGTTTCTGGCAGAAACTCCTTTAGGGCAACTTGGACAACACACTATAGTTTATTTGGTAATGGCATTTTTCCCAGAGGGACCTTCAAAGTCTCTTGTGTGGTGCCTTGTATTCCTGGCAGCAGAGGCAGGAAGAAACCCAGTTTTCAACATCCTCTTTCATGCCGACTCAAAATAAAACATTCATTTATCGGCTGTAACATTTTTCACATCTCACATGACTTGGCACATGCTTATCATACGATAGCTTTAGCGCGGGGCACTGAAGTACCATTTATGTATTCAAGACGAGTTGTGGATTGGTCCCTTTTTCAGTTCCCAAAGTATTCAGGGACTGTTTTCTGCACGCAGCAGAACTACACTCACTGAAATACGCATTAAAACAGATTTTTACTGCTGCAGTGCTTAGGTGATATCATTCTTTCCCAAACCTTTAAAAATCTTTTGGGATTTTCCCATGGGAGGTAGCACTGGCTACTAGACAGGACTCTGGTCTGGTAGTGTGGAGGTCTGGGCTCCGGGGAGTAGCACTCAATTTGTATCAACTCTGCACCTCAGATTTTCCTCCCGGGAAACAAACACTGGCACCTCCCCTCCTCAGCAGAGTCTCTGGGATTTATGCTGGAAAGCAATGTAAAAAAAAGCACCGTTTTTTTGGAGCTAGAAATAAGAAGAGAAAATTTACTTGAAATTCATCACGACAACATACTGAACTTTTTAGTGCAACGCTGGATTGAAAGGGCTGGAAGCCCTGTACAGTGCGCTGCCCCCAACCTCACGCTTCTCCGCTGTTCCCTAAGCAGATGGCACACCGTCAAAACAATGACATTTGACTATCAAACTAAAATTTGCAAAGCTTTCCAAGGGAATTAAAAAAGCCAGTTACCACTCCACATCAGAAGGGTTTTTGCAACAAAAAAACTAACCTAAAACAAGCCCTGCCAACACTCTCTACAAAGAGGTAAAGATCTTTGAGGCATTTTACTTTCACCTTAACTTTTTAAATAAAATACCTTGGGGAAAGGATTCCCTTAACTTTTTAAATAAAATACCTTGGGAAAAGGATTTCCAGTGTATCACGACAGAGGCTTTGCTGCAACAATAGCCACACTGGCAAACTGGCTTCTTTCAACACAGTCTTGAGTTTGTATTTTAAGTCGTTTTGCCACATTGCTAGCCAAAAATAACTATTTTCTCATCAAATTCATCAGTTCTTGTAAAAATTTACCATGCTACATGTGACTGTGAACAGGCCTAAAAGCCCTGCAAGGTGCCTGCTCAGGATCCTTGCTTTGCAGGAGGTGGACGGGCTGAGAGGGCTCAGGAGAGGAGGACGGCTACTGCAGCGCTCCCACCCCTCACTGCCCAAGAATACGTCCTGGATTTAATATGTTTCAATGCTTGCTGTTCTGTACTTCATATATACCCCAAGGTTAAAGTAATAATTAAGAGCAGCCGCCTTTACTTATGTACCTAGTAGTGCACAGCCAAGATCCACAACGGCTACCACAACATGAATGTCAAATAGAAGAGTAAAAAAAACCAAATCGGCAAGCAGGAATTACCCCCACAGCCTTTGCTCACACTGATCTTATTTTTTGTTGATGACATACAGAAAGGAATCTAAGTGCATATCTTACAGGACATATAAATCATTTTAAACTGGATTTCTAGTTGAAAAAACTCCAGCTGCGAAAACCAGAGAATTTTCATTAAGTCACTTTGTAAGTAATTTATAGCACTCTAAGACTTACAAAATAACAAAGAAATGACAGGCCAATTCCTTCTTAATTAGAACTGGAACAACAGGACAGAATCAGTGGGAATAGTGGAGCATTTCCATCCCAAATATGGCTCCACTTAACCAGGAAACGTGCACTCAGTTAACTCTGGTGTTCCCACGCTAGGAAGCCTATATGCAATTTTCAAAGCAAAGCTTAGAAACAAGATAAATCTTGACGTTTCACAAGAGTTTTCCTTCGTGTTTTGGGGTGAACTGAGAAGGAATTGTAGGTGGAAGGAAAACATTTGACGCAAAGAGGTGAGAGTTTATAGAAACCTCGGCAAGTTTTGCATTAAGTTTGGGAGGAGTTCTGTTCAAGCACTGAGGCTGTGTGAACAGAGCTTGACATGCTGTGGACAAGCAATGGTCTTGGGGCACAGCCATCATATTGTTCTGGTTTTACAGTATCTACCCACAGGGGCCATGGTCCATGACTGATGCTGTTAGGTCAATCCACATGTGACCTCTGGGCAACAGCTGGACTAACTCTTGGATCTCTTACACCAAGAAATCACAGCCCTTAAAATAAATTAATGCTCATCAGGTCCTTGGAGTCACTAGAGGGAGACACGAGCACATGCCTTAAACTAAGACGTTACATCTGGATTGGAGAATACACCCAGTAGACGATGGCTTGAAGCATTTCAGAAATGAACTATAATATCTACACCACATGCAGCTTCTCAAGATGTTCCGCTGTCATCAGTTTTCTAAAAGACAAAGGTTTATTGGGCTATTACTGAAAAGCGAGCCACTGCCAAATGGCATGAACAATTAGGTTACGAGTTGCTGACATTCTTATTCATATATATAACCACACAATTAAGTTGCTTGGTTTTCTTTTTTTAAAAAACTACCATGCTTGAAGCAATAACAAAGCAAGGTCTTATCGCATAAAACTTTACAGAAAGTCCTTTTTAAACCGTTCATGGGTTTTGGACAGTTCTTTTTTACTGTGTGCAGGCAGAATATTGTATTAGCATTCTGCAGAGTTTTAGTGCTGAGCAAAATGAGAGATTTACCAGTACAGATGACAAATTGGTTTAGTACTGTCTCAGGATGCCAAAGAGACCACTCCTTAGAGCACTGTTTCTTTGATCACAGTAACAAGACCACTCTTATTCCAGTACTAGAATATCTACTAAAGGCAGACACAAACATTTCAAATGCTGCAAAAAGATATTTTTTAAAGGATTAAGATGCAGACTAACGCTAACCCTACACAGGTTGAGCATATAATCCACTGTGTCTACCTTTTGATCAGTTCTTAACTGCAATGTTTGGAACTAGAAAGGTAGTGCGATAACTTAAACTATTTCTTTAAATGGTTTAAATATTGCTTATAATAACAAAATTATTGGGCAAGCTGCAGGAATTATAGGACTATCCTTATAACGTATGCTAAGAAGAAGACAAACCAAATGACCTTAATAATGCTTTTCCTTTCTAAAACTATATGAACAATGAAGTAAATCACTTATGACAAAAACCTGCACTTCAATAGAGCTACAATAAAGAACTGTTTGCTCTAAAATTTAAAAATAAATCCAAGCCCGTAAAGCTGTTCTCCCAGAATCTAGTTAACCATATATGTCTGTTATTTTTTTTTTTATCTGACAGCTTGATATACTGTCCCCCCTTTGTTACACATTTTCTATTCAATTTAGTACGCTACTTCCAATTAAACACCACACACTTATTGCATTACTTGGCATTAAACAGGCACATGTGTTCCTTTAGTTCCTGCCAGGGCGAGAAGACAATACCCTCAAGGTGAACAAGGCTATTTGTACGGCGAGTATTAGGCTCTGGGAAGTGTCCAAGAAGTCTGATGGAAGCCTGCAGGTGTGCGGTTTCAAATGCCTTCAAAGTGCTCAATGCCCAAGTCTTCCAGAAATGTTACACTTCATAACCATCCTCTCCCAACAAGATTTATGCTGTGTTTTGAATACTTCTAATATTCTGGAGTCTGAGTGCCAGAAACCTCTTTTTATCAGGCTTGGTCACTGGAGAAGTTGCTCTGGTCAAGAATCTTTACATATACCCATTTTTGTACAGGCCGTATTGCTACTATTTATTATATACAACCTACTAAAAGCAGGTATGATTTCAGTGTGTTCGCTCTGAATATAAATTAGTTCAACAGAGTAAAATTTGATCCACAACATAAGCCTATTGCATTAAGATTATCAATAAGGAGAAAACAAGAACAAGTTTTAATGATACGTTTATAAAAAAATTAGCATCCTTTCACTCTTATAGGTATACAACAGAAAGTACAGTACAGTTTTGAGATATACCCCCCCATGTTCATTGAATAGGGGTTATAAATTCACAAAGACATAATACTGCTATGCAAATGCTTATTAAAAACAACAACAACAACAAAACAGAATAAGCAATTTATGCTCTACCAGTCTGAAATGCTTTGTTTACCCTTGGAAATTGCTCTACTGTGTTCGAATTTAAAGCTTTGACCCTGCAAAAGAATGACCGGGCACAACCGTCACTCATGCGGGGAGCTACTGCAGTCAGCCGCAGGTCAACATCCGTGGATGAAACCTCTTCCAAGGTCTGGAGGCTGAAAGGGTTGCTGGCCTAGCTGTAAAAAAAAAATTTACACGGCAGTAGGAGGATAGAGGTTTCCTGGTGCACCAATTCCCTCCAGAACTCTTCTTGAGCTTTCCTCTGCTCTGATAAAAAACTAAACTCTAACAGCAACGCCATTATTTGTCATCATTAGATCAACAGTATGAAGCCACCGTGGCTCCAGAATGTGTCTTTGGCTCCTCTGGAAAGGATACAAAGGTATAATTTCCATGTTTGTCCCCTTGGCAACTTCTGATACTGTGATGGTTATTACTTACACAAACAGAAAGCTGCAGCCAATCAAAATATGGTTGGCAAGGAATCTGGGCAAACTTTAACAGCAATGGTTCTTCAACATAAAAAGGATAAAAGTAGAATAATAATTTTTGGCAGCAGAAGCGGGGAATTTTTAAAATTCTGATTGTTTTCCTATGAGGATAGCATTATAAATACTGAAGTCTAACTGAAAACATGTTGTTCCGGTTTCATGAATTCACATTGAATAAAATTCTGCTGTATCCACTGAGTTGCACTCATTTCCATTCTTCTTAAACTGAAGTTATCTGGAATGTACAGCAAGGTAAGACAGTGGAATCTGGCACAGAAACTGCCTGTTCTAAATAATTTAAATATCTTTCTGAAAGAAGCTCTCTGTGTCTTCAAGTGTGTTACACTGGAATACACAAAGCGCTCTTTTCAAGAAAGCTTAATTAATTTTGGTCTTCTGGGAAACAGATGGCCAAGAAAGGCATTTGCCAAGTGGAAGATGCACATAAATTTAAATATAAGAATAACTGTCACTGAATTTTTCACTTTCATTTTCAACAAGCTTCAGCGCGATTATACAATTTTGACAGTCTATCACTAGGATCTGATGAACCAAATAAACAGAGTTATATTATCTTAGTGGTAATTAAACTCAGTTGTCACAAAATGAGTCTAAGGAAAACTCCATGCAGTCGAATAAAGGACATTTGTAGGCACAGAATCAGGTACATTTATTAATCTGCAGTAGGAAGCAGCATCAGAAGATATTAATGATATTACAAGTAAGCAAACTTGCTTGATTAATAGGTAATGATGTAGAGTTTGGCCCTTCATCTACAAAAAGACATCACGTGACCATTTTCCATGCCTTCAGTCATGAAAAAGTGAAAATCTGCAGATCTACAGATCCAAAGAAAGACATTTAAAAATCTTCTTTTAATGTTTTGAAATATTTAGTTTTGATTTTTACCTTTTTATGATTGCACTTCATTCTATGTTTTGGAACAGAAAGTCATACTGAGCCCCAGATCAGAATGATCTGTTTAACAGCACTGAAGTGAACTTTCTTTCCCAAGACAATAACATAAGAAGCCGAGAAGTATTTTGAAGGAGGAATTAATAAAAAAGACTATTGCATGTAAATAGTTTTATATGAATTGCCGTTCTAATTTAAAAAAAATATATATTGCTGAAATATTTCCCAGGCAGATCAACCTGGGCCTCTAATTCATTGGCACAGACTCAATATCTGTCACTTAAAATACGTGTTTCATCATGTATCTAGAATTGTGAAATTCTTTAAAAATACTCAATACAAAATATGTTATTTCCTTTATAGTACATATTTACACTTCTAATATAAGGTACTGCGGAAAAAGTAAGCAAGTACACGCAGGTGTAAAGAACACAGCTTCAGAAAGGTTTCTCCTTCAATCAGCTGCTCTAATCACATTTCAGTATACCTAGATAAGAAAAACAGTCTATTTTGTATACTGCCACCAAAGAGCAAGATGCTCTTGCTCTTTATGCATTAGTTGCTGAGTAAACATGCCAGACATTGGGCCCACTGACATCAGGCATCTTCCCCTACACTACAATTTCAGACATACTGGAATGAGTCCAGTGAAGGGTCACCAAGACTATTAGGGGCTGGAGCGCACGTCGTTCAGGAGGGGCAGAGAGCAAGGTCTGTTCGTCTGAAGAAGACAAGACTAAGGAGAGGTATCGTTGCTGTCTTCGACTACTCCATGGGGACTGAAGTCACGATGAAGCCCTCTTCTCGAAGGTCATGAGGTAAATGAGATGAAGAGTGATGAACTCTTCTCAGATATGCACAATGAATGGATGAGAGGCAGCAGACGGAATTTGCAACATGGGAAATTCTGGTTAGATAGTAGGAAAAAAATTTTCACAAGGGTAGTCAAGGCTAGGGGGAAGGCCCAAAGAGGTTGTGGAATCTCCACCTCTGGAGATAGTCAGAACTCAGCTGGACAAGTCTCTGAGTCACCTCATTTTGCTTTGAGGTTGACCATGCTTTGACCAGGAGCCTGGGCCGGATGATCTCCAGAGATTTCTTCCAACCTAAATTATTCTACGAAAAACGTTGACTACAACGCAACGCTCGCATTACTGCTGTAGTTCGGCTCTTTGGCAAGTGAATGGTAAACACATTGGTGAGATCAAAAGAAGTCAGTTGCTTGACTCGGATGGTTTTTCTCCAGCAGCTAATAACATGGTATCTAATTGTCCTCTCGTACAAGATTTACCTTACTAGATCCAATCCACTTAAGTGAAATGACTTTTGATTTACACATTGGTGAGCTCAGACCCAGGCCAGCACATCTCCAAAGGCACATTTAAAATGTCACAGCTGACAGAACAGGCCTACTGAGGAACCACACGCTTCTGACTAGTTGGGGGAAAACGACAATTTTGACACATTTACATCAAGTAAACTTTCTACTAACATTCCTAGAGCTACAAAGAAGAAATGACAAGGGATCAGAATCCGTACCTGTGATTTTCTGGCTAAAAGCATAGCTGGTTAATTAATTTGGTCACAGACACAAATATCTTTACTGTGTTGAGAATGACTTTCAATACCCATAAACTGATGAATATCAACAATAAGCCTTACATTAAGCTTGAAAAACACCCAACAAACTTGTATTGCTTCAAACTGATAACAGTTTGAACTAAAGTCCCAGGTGAGCAAAAGTCCCAGGTGAGCAAAAGTCACTTATTTCTTACTGGCACTTAATGACTGCAGATTTTTTTAAGACCTGAGGTGAACCTTGGGGTTCACTCTCTTCACGCACTCCTTATCCAACTGCAGTAACAACAAATATTTTTTTAAAAATTACTAGTTAGCATCAAAAAAGAGGAAAATCTTTTCTTGCAGAGGGGTAATTTATTGTGGTGTGTGAATGACAGATGGAATAAAAGATCTGCAACTGCCTGCACTACAGCATCTAAAGAGCCCATGGTCTTGATGTCTTTCAGTAAGTGCACTTTTTATGTAGTCGGACCGAAGAGGTTACTGCATAGGTTTTGTAACTTCTAACAGACCTAAAGAGAGGTATAAAGTAGAACCACGGAATCAGGATATTAAAATAGATTAACATTATTTCTTTATACTCACTTTGTCCTATCTTAAAGAACAACCTGTTAAAACAGAAAAAATAGCACCAAAATATCTTTGTTCTTTTACGAGACCAACAGCAGATGTTGAACGGTATCAGGGCTTTCTAAAGCTGACTTAATCAAATTATTGTGCGGTAAAAGCACATTGCTTTCCATTATATAAACAATACACAAGAATCTTTAAACTACCTAAAAAACATCTATCCTTGCTTGCTTTCTCCATCCAAGATAAAGCTCTTTTCTGTGTAAGAAGATACTGTTTTATGAGAGCTGCTGCACAGTTTGACTTGACAAACCACTGAGAAACTCAAGTGACAAGACAGGAGAATGCAGAAACCCAGACAAGCCTGATAGATGACATCCTACTTTTCGGTAGACGGACTTAGATGTAAATGAGGCATAAACTGAGACCTTCCAGTCTGCGAAATTCATGCTAGAAATGTGGCACATATTCTTAGATTAATTAACAACTTAACGAGGACTGTGGTGAATTCTTCATCAATGGCAATTTTAAAATTAGACTGGACATTTTTCTATAACATATGATGCTATTCAAAGAGGAATTAATTCAAGGAATTCTGAGAGTTTCTGCGCAACAGGATTTTGCAGTGGATCCATATCGGCTTCATGATCTATGAAAAACTCATTTAATTTCACTCTGGTTGTCAAGTGGGTTTATAAAGTCACTTAAACTCGGTGTGGCTCACCGTAAGTTGATATGTTCCATACTGGTTATCCTGATACTCTGGAGCTGGTTTTTCTAAAAACGTGTCCAAGCTTTCAAACAATGAATTGTGTTATAAATCAGAAAGAATGTCAGGTTCAGATTAATTGAGGGGTAAGAGGCTAGGAATAAATATATAAAACAGATTTAACTTTTTAAAAGGATCCAGCTACTAAATGGCCTCTGTAGTCTTCCATAAGAAGTGTGAATACTTCTGTACTATTCAAGCTGAATTGAATAGCCATTTTCATATCTAAATTCAAATACCGTCTGTGCATATAAAACAGTTCATTTATTAATCCAAATGTTACTGTTGCAGAGCTCTTGGAAAAATATTCTCTCTTTCTTGGGTTTGTTCTTCGTAAAAAGGAAGCTTTGGAGGGCCACCTAGAGAATTAAGTAGAAACACAGTTGTAGGTCTATATAATATAATTCTGAAATATTATATAGATTATACAATTTATACTTAAATAATTTAATATACTGTACCCTTCAAAAGAAAGTAGAGGACTGAGCTACACTGACTTCCTCACAGAGATGGACAGAACAGGTAAAACAACAGTAAAAGCATCTCTCAAACGGAAAGTTCACAAAGTGTTTCCTAAATCAAATTCATTCTAAAATGTATGGTATCGCTAAACAAGTCAGCCATGATTAGCTTACAAGTGGGAAGAAACTTTCGCACAGCACTACACCTCCTTAAGAAGAGAAATTATCTAAACTAAAACAAAATCATTTGTGATACTCCGATGAGTTCTTCAGCATCTTCACAGAGCAATCAGAATCTACTTAACGTTTTTACTAACTCCCGGCCTCTTAGGAGGGCAGCACACACAGATACAACCCTTCCAAGCAAAGCTGCTGCTACCAAGGGCTGTAGGCTTTTCCACCAGAGATAGAAATGCAGAACAGCTCATCTTTCTACTGCCTCACACAGCCTGGCACAGCAGCTGTGGTGCCCGCTGCTGAGCACCGTTTGTTGTGGTGGGGCGATATTCCTGTCTAAATCACGTGGTCAACGCCTACACGTTTCCAGCTTGTGTTACCTTCTTTGCACGTTGGCCCCATCCATGTGGCTGGACATACGCAGTTCCCATTGTAAGGATTGCACTGGGATTTGTTGGCACACTGGCATCGCAGAGAGCAGTCAGGGCCGTACCGGTCCGACCTGCATTCTGGAAGGATAAAAGTGTTTACAAAGAGGGGTACGCTCCCCTAATACTGTCCCTGTTCAATGGCTGCCCTGCACTGAAGAGCTCCCCTGAAAGTGTACGGACAGAAAAGGCAGCAATTGAGACCAGTGTCAGCATTCAGGGCAAAACGCACACAGTAGGAAAAAACAGGGATATTTATTTCAAAAAAATTCGTAAAAGTCACTGGCTTTTCACTGGGGAGGAACACAAACCTCACACGGGCTCTGCTGAGAATGCAAACCTCCATCAAGTTCTGCAAACTAGGAGAAGCTTTGTTGGGGTCAACTCCTGAACTGAAAAAAGAAATTTTTTTTTTAATCTCTACTAAGCATCTGGCATAAGAGTCTGGGTTAGGAGACTTAACCTTGTTTTGTCTAAGGTGATATACAAAGAACAAATCAACTATTATTACATTGTATAAGCATGCTTTTTGCCACGTATCTATCAGGAGGTAAGAGAAGTGAACCAGCAAAAGAGATCTCAGGATTTGCTCAGGGAAGTTGCTGTCAAAATACTGGGTCCACATTCTCTCCTGGTTCTCCACTACACGGTTTGGCTGTCAGTCTATAGCAATAAAGAGCCTTCTCTTAAAGAATATGACATTGAAAATTAATCCATTTTACATATACTCGTACATCTTATACCAACCACACATAATTCAGCTGACAAATCAAACACAAAACATCTTGCTCCTCTCCACCTTCACTGCAAAGGATGAACAAACACATTTCATGCCTAGGCTGACAAACTTCCGTGGCAATTTTTCCAAGATGTTTATGCATTCAGAGTACAGGCAGGAAGGAAAAGTTAGTAGCAGGTCACAAGGCAGGGTGCTAAATACGCTGTAAACAATACCCCTCTTCCCCTCACCTCACTGGAAAACACAGTAAATAATCAAGACGCTTGCTTTCTCACACAGCCACTACTCGGTAAATAAAAGTGCTGCTGAGGGCGGCATCAGCTGCAGCCCCAACACGTGGGAGAATTCCTCCCCTGCGCTCCGAAGCTTGGCCTCTTCAATTAGGAAACGTTATGAGAAAAGGTCTCCTCGAACACCTCTGGACCTGATTTTAATTTACGTAATACCACATTTTCATGTTAATAACAATGTGTATTTAAGACATCTGTTTGAAAGTCTGCAATGTTAATTTACTACAGAAAAAGAGAGCTCATAAAAGTCTGCTATATTCTCTCTCTCTCTCTTTTTTTTTTTAATTAACATTTTGCCTGTTTAATGGGTGCTTTACCAGAGTTCAAATTAAAATCAGGCCTTTTATCTTTATGGCTGCTGCACAGTCACAGCTGCTCGCAGTTATATCACAGATGAACTGACCCTAATTGAAAATAAAAATGCAAATAAAACCTACCCCATAATAGCTTTTCATGGATGGGGGCTACCCTAGCCGATTTAAGAAAAATAAAAATGACTCCTATAGTTTGCAAGAAGCAAAAACTCTTTTCACATTTCTGGTGCTGAGCTTCCCCCTTGCGTTTCATTTCTGCCTAAAATTTCACTGGAAAAGACTCTGGATTCACAGAGCCTTACTCACGGCACAGTGTGGTTGAACTCTCCAGTCAGCCCAGGGCCTGGAGACTGAGTTACTTTGATTTCTGACAGTGCAGGGAGGGAAGCAAATCCAACTTTTTTGGATTGTCCTTAAGCTCCCAGCAATTACTTAACTCTCCCTTGCATTAATAGCATGATGCTTAAAATCGTTTCCTGTCCTATCCTAGAGCAAAGGAGACCTAGTATTCCTCAAATGTGATTCTGGAGCTTAGGGTATCAGAGTTTCCTGTGTGATCCTGCAATATTAGCACATGGACATTCATGCCTTTTAGCATGCTTGCTAGGACATGAGGATTCTTTTTCATTCAGTGATTGCCATAAATTCACATCAGCATTACTGAGACCAGAATCTGGCTCAGGAACTTTTAACTATCATTAGTGCCTCTCAACTCTGCAATGATTTCGGCAGGGTACAGCATTCTGGTTTGTTTTCTTTACACTAGAATTTTCTCATCTATTTTTATGCCCTCGTTATGAAATAATTCTGCCTCTGTGGGCCAACCCGTCTCCAAATGCGCAGCCCAAGTGCCTGTGCTGCAAATGAGGGAATTTTATTTGGATCAAACGTTCTCGGACTACTACTGAATCCTAGAGCCAGAAACAGCTGCTGCAGGTCCCCTACCCCCCACCCACTCGTGCAATCGGATCCCTTCACACCCGCCTGCACCCCTGTCAAGCAGCTTCCCCACCACATCTGCAAAACTGCTACTTGTGCTACCTTCTTAGTATATTCTTCAATAATGCATGCTCCATGAAACTTAGCGCCAACGATTTTACAGCTGACCCACATAGTTTTCCTACCAGTGCGTCAATTTACATATTGATTAAAACAAGAGCTGCACCCCGTTGATAGAGCTGTTTAACCTGTAAGAGGGTACTTAGTTACAAGTGTTCATGAATACGCTATTCCAGTAAACGTCCTTTCACAATTAAGCTTAGACCAACAGGTCATACAGGTTTAACTATGTATCGTCCGGCCCTTGGAAAGTATCACTGGTCTTACCAACGTCACATTTGTCTCCAGTCTTCCCAGGTGGGCAAAGACACCTTCCAGTTGCTGGATCACAGGGAACTCCTCCACAGTCACATCGAAGCTGACACCTCTCGCCAAACCACCCAGTATCGCAGCCTAACATAAAGAGCACGTTTTCAGATGCACTGCATATTTGAGTTGCAAGAAATACATCAGCTCAGAGGAGTTTTTCAAGGATGTCTCACAGGACAGCTCATAAACTCTGAACTGAACCTAGTATAAATGCCAAATTTAATGCAGAATGGAATATCATGGAACAGGCATAATATTTATATGATCTCTCCTTATGTCGGTTTAGTCTAATCCAACCTATCAAAGGTATCTGTAAATCTGTCCCAGAAACGTAACTGGCACTTATTTTCATTTTTAATTAGAAGTCTTTGGAAGACTATTCCATAACGCTCAACTGGTTTAACATACACCAATTTAATAATCTTTTTGAAATTTTAGGAGCAAATTTAAAATCAGTAAAAGGAACTCATTTTTAATAATCAACATGTGGAACTCATTGCTGCAAGACATCATGGAGACGAGGACTTTAACTGCATTAATCAGAACCAGGTTAGTTTATTTATAAGGGAATGAGAACATCCAGCTCTAGAACAGGTAAGCAATCCCAAATTCCCTGTTCAGGGTATTCAAAAAGCTAAAAGTTTGGACAAAGTTGCTTTCCAGAAAGTGAAATGTTTGGGTAACAATATGATTTTTTAAACATTAGATGTGAATAAGTACCTTTTTCACAGTAGACACCTTGATAACCTAAAGGACAAACACACTGTCCTGTCACTGCATTGCAGCTAGCTCCATTTTTACAGGCACACGCATGAAGACAGCTTAGCCCATAAAATCCAGCGGGGCACCCTAAGAAATGAAAGTGTCAAATGAGAAAATTTATGAAGAAAAATATACATCCCTTGAAAATCCTGCGTATTCTCTGCTATGTTCCCTGGTAGCCAACAAAACTGCTATATGCTATAACCTCTAATAATCCCGTGTCCTTTTCAATTCACCACTAACACCCCCAATACCAAAGCAGTATGCAAGTTATTCAGATCCTGAAGTAGTCTGGTGCTCTGGGATGCCCCCAAATTTTTTTTCCAGAACCACAGAGGTGTTTATATGACTATTCGGAAGATCCCACGTAGTTTTACTGTTGGAAAACAGACTACTCAGGCTGTTGCAGGGGTTGTCCACTTACTGTGCTCGCAAGAGTGGCCATAATAACCTTCGGGACACTGGCAGCAGCCCGTGAACCTGTCGCAAGTGCCGTTGTTCTGACATGGGCAGGCCAAGTGGCAGTCAGCTCCGTATTTACCTGGGAGACATTCTGCTGACAGAACAACAGAAACTCTTTTTGCTGACCTCACATGGAAAAATGCTTGCATGATAGCCTTTATAGCTGAAATCTAATGGCCATATAATAGCTTGTAGAGCTGAGATGAACACTTGTTACGAATTTCCCACTTCCACTCCCTTCTGCACATTGAAGACACAGCAATTTCTGCACAATTATGATGTATTTGTTTACTTTCGTGAGAAATGCTTTATATTACACAGATGGTTGTACAGCGTTCAATTTCCTTGTGCTTTTAATAGTCCATCTCTTTTAATTGTGGCTTCATATAGTTATTGCTGGAAAAAATTAACTGTGTGTTGTAAGGCCACATAGAAAATGAGATCTTCTCCACTATTTGTGTATCTACAACAATATTTTCTTACAGGGACTTATAAAAGCTACATTGCAAAAACGTAGCTCTTCCTGGTGTGTGTTGTCACTAGAGTTCACACTATTCCCGGTCCTAACAAAATGGAAGGTTTCACACATAGTAACAGACATACCATGTGTAATTAGATGTCTGCTTTTACAGAACTAAACATGTCTCCAATTACTGAAAGCCAAGTCATGCAAAAGTGACTGTGTCAATATAATTAACCTGTGCATCATTTCTACAGAAGTTAACTTTGCCACTGCTGAATAATTTGAATGAGTGTGGCCATCCAAATAATCAGATTCATACGTCTGCAAATGTCAGACAAGCCTTTTTCTGCATCTTTCAAGAACATCACATCTAATCAGTAGAAAAAAAGATGCATGACTGCAAGATGTCTTTCAGTCAAAACACACTGAGAACCACACTGATGTGGAAATCAATATTCAGTTTTCCATTAGCTTGGCTATCTATGTCAAAAGATAAACAGTGGAGATCTTTCTAGTGATACAGCACACAGTCCTTTACGTTACGTGTTGCCCTTGGCAATTGAAACCAGAGACTTTTTACCTAAGCACACCTGTAAGATATACACATGATCCACACTACTCTAGGACACCTGCCTGGCCCCATAAAGGCTTTGCTACCCAAACGCAGCCTATGAATGGTTTTAGAGATTTCAAGGAACAGACAAATAAAGGTGAGCACCCACGGCCTACACAACTTGAAGTCAGTCAGTTATTGGTAAACTCCACTTTTCTGGGGGCTTCTCTGAGTGACAGCTAACAGTGGTATTCACATTGGGAGTGACTCCATGTGGTTAGCATCTTTTCTTTTCTCCCTGCTGCTCCCCTACACACACATGCATGAAATGGGTCCCTGAGTCTTTTCAGGTGCAAAGTGAAATAATTCTACAGAATTCTGTTAAAAAAAAGTGCCATTGTTGGATGCCTCTATAACGACCAATTCTTGGTAAAGCTAAGGAGGGAGTTGGATATTCTACAGATATCAGGGAAAGAAGCACTGTAAACGAACTGCAGCATCTGGAGCGAAGACTGGAGTGTCTTCGGGGAATTGCACCATGGCAGTCTTGATGTGATGATGACACCATCTTGAATGTAAACTCAGAATTAACTGTTCCTTTGACATCATATCATAAAACTCATGATTCCTGCACATCTAAGTCCATAACTAGACAGATATCTCTTGATCTGGAGAGAGGAATGGGAACACAGAAATGGAGAACGATTTTTGAGAGAGGGGAAGAAAGGAAGGACATGTGAAAAGAATCTATTATGGGATTGCAAAAGTATTCCTGGAGTGAAAACTGAGCTTGTTCTGTTGAAGCATGTTTTGCATGTCTAAAGGCCATCACAGAGAAATAAGAAAGAGCTAGCAAGGCAATCACAGTTGTTTTGGACAGATGTTGTCAGGACTGTACTAACAGGAAAGTCAATACATGGGAAGTTTAACTGCAGTCCAATGTCAAAGGGAAAAGACCAAGAACAGAAAAAACATAACAAAAAATAAAGGAGACACGGGCTTCTGCTGACCTAAAAATGCGTGTGTGAAAGAAGGTACAAAACAAGGTTCCCACGAACAAAAGAACATAAAAGATGGACAGAAGAAGAAATAAGACTTAATGTGAGGGAAGTCAGGAGCATTCCAGAGCAGGATTCACGAGGAAAATGGCTCTGAAAAAAGACCTAAAGCTCTGACTTAGTGCTATTCTGCTTGTGAGAACCCAGAGAGATGAATGCAGCTGGGAGGGAGTCTACTTCAGCAAAACCTGCCTTATTTTGAGTGTGTGTAGGCTCTGAAAACCCCTCCTTGAATCTATATTTCTACTATCATCAAATCAGAAAATTACCTTTCTCACAAGAGCTTCCTGTCCAGCCAAGACCACAAGTACAGCTCCCATCCACTTGATCACAGATACCACCGTTCTGACAGGTACATGTCAGCTGGCAGTTGGGGCCATATTGTCCCTGGGGACACACTACAGAGAATTAACAAAGTTTGAAAAAAAGATATTAGCATCACAAAGAAAGATGAAAGCGACAGGGAATAAATACAGATGCACACTCCCCATATAATATCACAAGTACCTGATGCAACAAGGCTGTGGGACACACGCAGTTCTTCACTGCATGTTTGTCAGCAGTTTAATCCAAGCATTCCGTCTCACCTCATCTCCATCTAGCTTTATGCCACGTTTGCTCTGCTTGCTCTCTTCCCCTTGTCCCGTCTCAGTCCTCCTCTCCAGCACATCCTTTCCCTTCACTTTTTCAGTTCAAGCAATTTGCTTCTAAATTTAGTCTCAGCCATCCACAGTACCCTCACACTGCTCACCTTGTGTGGTATGAGCTACCCTTTTCCCTGTCCTAGGTTTAGACTGCAGGTGCTGAGAGCCGTGAATTCTTTGGCTTTGCAGAGAAACTAGTGTAATGGTACCAGTGGTGGTGGGGTAAAGTGCTGAGGTCTGGGCAGGAGATGAGCATAGCATAAAGGAGGACTGAGGGAGCAGAGGGACAGGGGCTGAGATCCTGTGAGGTACAGCAAACTGCAACATTATCTAGCAAAGCTTGCCTTCAAAAATGTTGGGAAACGCAGCCACAAATAATGCTTGGCCCTGAGTCTTATTTGCTGGTTGTCCCAAGGACGTGCCTAGCTGACAGGACGACCGTGGGTGCCGCTTTGTTACCTTGCTGACAGCCAGCTCCCGTTTGGCCAGGAGGGCACGTGCACTTGCCAGTCTGTGGGTCACACTGACCTCTACCACACGAACAGAACAGGGCGCAGTCCTTCCCATATCGATTTTCAGGGCAAGCTGAAGGAAATACAATCTTTTATTAAACATCCTGGGCGTCCAATGCCAGTTTTCATTTTTAACAGAGGCAGCATTCTGCAGAGCCAGCTTCATTTTTATTCCAGGTAACGTGCTTCAAAACAACAAGTATGAAATCAAAACCCATCCAAAGATATGACAGCTTCTTCCTTTGAAACTTTTCTTGAGGCTATAAATGTCCTCCATGCCTTTACATGGAACGTTTGGTAGCTTTTCTACCACAAAGGTGACTATGCAACTGGAATCTCAGCTAGTTATGCTTCCAACCAAAGGATTCTTTCTTTCCTTAATATCGATGCTGTCTTGTACTGAATAGCAAAGCTGTAGACTACTAAACATATTGAAGTGTTGCATTTCTGTGAATAAGCTGAAGAGAACTTTAGAAAGTGACTGGAAATGGTAAAATATCAGTGAAGTTCTGATTAGTGCTAAAACCTGTACAGTCTGTACAGGTACAGCATGTGGAAATACCAAAGGCTCAGCACTCATCCATATTAGGAGATCATAGCTTTGGAAATACCACAGAAGTTCAGCCCCACAACCCAGCCCTAAAGCAGAGAAGGACAAGTAGGGTTGTCATGGAATCCTTACCAGTTTTGCCATGACAAAACTTGAACTTTTTCCCATTTGCTGAAAATAATGTCACCGTAGCGTGAAGCAAAATATTGAGATAATTTCTCAACCTAGAAATTTTGGACAGGAAGAAGGAACTTGAGCAATTCACGCTGAGCTGTCTCTAGAAATAAATTTGGGCAAGCAGGCTGTAATCCTGGGATGGATGTCTTGCTTTCGCACATACAAAAGAAAGGGAAAATATTTTGCAAGAGAATTTTTACAAAGCTGGAATCCTGATTTACAATTCAAGCAAGTGTTAGCCGGGATCTGTCTATTTTCATACCAACAAACTATGATCTGGACTATCCTCAATGCTGCTTTTTAAAAGAAGCAGAACATGAATGATGGCTTACTTTTACTACAGTCAGCTCCAACGAAACCAGGCGCGCAATCACAAGTTCCTGTCAAAGGGTCGCAATGGCCTCCATTCATGCATTTACAGGATTTTTGACAGTATGGACCGTAAGTACCTTTTGGACACCCTGTTTAAAAAACAAAACAAAACAAAAGTTGCTAGTGGGACTATTGCATTTCCGGTCATAAGCACTTTGTTTTGGAGGTAGCAAGAAAAGCAAGCCCAGTTCTCCAGAGATTTTTCCTCCTGGATTTCTATTCCAAAACAACCTGTTTCCCCTTCCCCTTCCAAGGCAGGGATGGAGAGATGAAGCCTTGGTCCCTCTTCCTTTGGGCAACAACAGCCTCTTTTGCCTGTATTGGTGAGAAGACATGAGCCATCTCTGCCTCTTTTAGGCGTTCCTCTGTAGGACACGTTCTAGTTAGTGGTGCGCCAGAACTTTCTTTTCTAAGTTTATGCAGTACAAAGTTTGTTTCCTCTGTAATCCACTCTTCCTCTCCAAACTGGAATTTGCATTGCTCTGTCCAATCTAGTGGCTTGTGGATGGAAGACTATGAAAACATGTACGTGACAGTAACATAAGAGACTTCAGGAGACTTTTCAGAAGATAGATATAGGGCAGATACACTTCACAGGCAAAGCCAGAAAATTCTCTGAAAAGAGAAAAGCTATATTTTGTAATAACGCAAACAAACATTGGACTTAGATGAACTGCTGAGCCAATGTTTCAGGGCTGTCCGTCAACAGGTTTCTGAGTGTTTCCTGATGGCGTATATTTCTGGTTACTTTCTGGACAACTAATTTTGAAGGAATGATGCATACAAAATTAGGAAGACACCAATGCATCTGTTTCACTTAGCCCACATCTTTAAGATACTCCTCAGAAGCATGAAGGCTAGAACCAAAAAAAGTTTCCACAGTTCCTAGGCTCGTGCCTCTAGCTATCATGGTTGACTCCAGCATGCTAAAACTAAACGCTGGAGATTATTCTCCCAACTTTGCAAGACTGGAAATACAATACAGAAGACAAAGGGGAAGAAGCCACTGCTTTTATAGCAACAAAAATATGAACGTGGTTCAACAGTTGCACTCACGCTACTACCTCTAAATGACATTTCCTTGCTCCCCACTTCCTTCTTTCCCTCCTGCAAAAGGAAAGCCTACGGCTACTTTGGAAATCTGGTTGAATATATATTTGCATGTCTCCAAGCAATAGAAGTCTCTACATTCTATGTAAACGATTATACATTTTCTTGTTTGAAGGCACAAAAACATGGTCTGAGTGGCTGGGGAAATCCTTGGGTTTTTTATGAGAGAGAGAGACAGAGAGACATACACATGCACTATGGTACATCTTCAAAGGGATGTTTTTAAAAATACAACTGAAAATTGGCTTTTGCTTGACTCAGGATAGCAGATCATCAGGACTAAACAGATACACACTTTTACAACAGGCAGATACTCCCCCCAGCCCTTCTCAACCATGCCTTCTTCTCAATGAATACTTTGTCATCAGTGCTTCCATCTGTCAGTACAGAAAATCTGTTTCACATGCAAATCCTGGCATCAAAGAGTGATCCTCGAAGTATCTATTTAATTTCCACAAAGAAATGAAGTTAAGGACACACCCTGATTAAATGATTTAATCTGGACTCTAAGTGAGTTTCTTCCCCCCACCCCCTTTCCTTTTGGTCATCATTTGGCTTTTCTCTTTTTTTATTCCGTTTCCCACACTCCCGGCTATGCTGCTTCTCCCTGGCAAAGCTTTCAGAATTGGTCCTCATTTCGAGACTAACAAGAGTTGTTCCATAACTAAAAGGGGATCGAGTAATTCCCTCCTTACAAATTTATTTATGCTTGCAGTGTTTTATTTATTTCATTTCAATGGGGAGCAACACAAGCAGGGCAAACATGTCAGCTGCAACATTCACATGATCATTAACAAGGCCGTCTCATCTGTTACCACTTTGCAAGAGAACTTATATGCAGACAGCTAGGGCAATTTACACAGTGTCCTGCCATTTAAGTAGGCTCTGCATTTATAAAGAGGGTTAGCCTCTAACCACCAGTTATCTAATAAAGACATTTTCTAATTTAACAGTTTCCTGTGCATCTGACTTATGTTTTTGTGAGAACGGCAGGAACTGCAGCCAGATTTCTAACTCATTTCCTGATCTCTTCCTTCTGGCTTGGGTAGGTGACCGAAAGCTCCTAAATCTTTTCATACAAACTGTGTACACTAGGGCTTTCCTTACCAATATTACTAATTGCATTGCCAAAAATGCAGTTTTGATGCATCTTGCTAGCTACAGTTTGAAGGTGAAGTTGGTGAGGTCTTTTTGGCTCAGGGTTCATCCAGCTCAGTAAAGAGCACAGAGATGCTGTGTGGTTTTTCTGTCCACTACTACACCTCTTACTGTTTTTTTTTTTCTCCTAGCTTCACCACACTCAAGTGCATCTGCCCATCCATCGAATTATGGACAACTGATGGGAACCTCATTGCTAGTTTGCCTGCTTCCTTTGTATCCTGCCAAGAGACTATTTCAGTTCTTCACTCCAAAATTTGAGAACATGAAAGCCTAGTTGCTCTTGGCTCCTAGAAATTTGACTTCCCAGCCAACTACACCTTTTATAGATATTTTCTTGAACCTTTTTTCACAGTACTATAAATATAGCAGTAGTTGCCAGAAACCATTTCCAGCAGCATCCAACCACATGTTGACTGGATTGAAGCCCACTTAACTTCTTTGGGAGCGGCTCCCTACACTGTTTTTAATATTTCAAAAGCTTCTTCACCATGGAGCAGCCCCAAGTCTCCCTGTAGTTAGAAACGAGGAGTGTCAGCAGAAACGAGGAAGATTTAATATCTCCTCCAATGTCGCACTGGCTATCCCTGGTTATCAGACAGTGCAAGTTCAGAATCAGGTCCATGATGCCTCACTTCACTGACCTATATGTAAAAATAACTTACACATAAAATGCTTTGCTTCCATTTTCATGGCTTTCTCCAGATTGGTCAAAGTCACAAGAGAATAGGAAAACAAAAAAAACAGACCTGAGACAAAATTTCCTCTCTTTGAATCTCTACACCAGTGATACAAAGACATTTCATTATCCCTCCACTAAAATTTTAACAAAACTGCATCTCTTATTTGAGAATTGCTTTTCAAGATACTGTGTATTGTTGGAATCTAAGAGAACATGGCACCACGAGGGATGTAGGTCTTGTACACTATAGGTTTAATCCTAGCAACGCAGAAGTACACAGCAAAATCCTTTTTGCAATAAAACACAGATTTCACTTCGTAAGTAATTTCTGTTACGTCAGCACTTCAGTACAACTATTAATATTTTAATCTTTAAATTTGGAAGCAAAATCTTAAAAGATCTAAGTAAGCTCAAGGACATTCACGATAACCTATGGAGATTTAGTACCGTATACAAAGATAACAACTATTACAAGATTACTACAGAAAAGGTAATAGGCTAACCATGATTAAGTCTTTTAAAATAGCACTGTTAAATAGCTGATCTCTTCTACTGGTCTACTACAATATTTATTATAATCTAATTTATAATGGATCCAGACGGCTCTAATCTAGATTTTGAAGGCCAGATTTCGATCTCACTTACAGTAAGAACTGATGTACAAAGGAGGATAGAATCAATCATTATGTATTATTTTGCATTTATTTTGAAGAACGACTTGTGATAGCATGATGGCAATAGAAATGTCCATCTCTCAAATCTGCGAGCCTCTTATCCGTTTCTACTCTATGAATAAAGCACAGGTTTAACCCTTACCAGATCTGCACATATCGCAGCTGGCCTTTTTATCCAAAGTGTCACCCAAAAAAGCAAGCAAACAAACAGAGCCATGCTGGATTTGGTAGAGAGAGACAGACTGAGCTTGAAAGAAGACAGCCCCTTTTATTCTTTTATGAGACCATTACAAGCCAAGGAGTAAAAACAAAATTAAAGTTGTAAATAAAAAGGTAATTAACTGTCTCCTTTTTTGGATACTTCAGTATATGTTTCTTATCAGTTGCCACATTCCACCAGAAACAATTTTACAGATGTCCTAAAATACCAGCATGAGGCATGTGGATCTGGGAATATTTTTTATGATGGAGCGTTCAGCCAATTGGCATTTTGTCCTTTACACTAGTCACCATTTTTCAATCCAGAGTAACAATTTGTTTAATTTGATTGTTCCTCAGAAGGCTCTACAACTTAACTGACTTTATGAATCACTTAGATTTATTGCCAATTGCAGCTCCTTGTTTTATAATAACCGTTTGTCCTTACTTGAACACTCAGAGATTTCGCGAAGCATTTTGGCCCAGGTATTTTGACAAAAAAGAGCTATATAATATCTTTATGCAGCTGAAGATGAGAGTTGCAAATATAGAGTATTATATTGATATTCTTCAGTGTGGCATGAAACTGGAAAGAATTTCACTAGTAAATGATTGTGTTCTCCAGTAAAAAAATTCCTCGCAGAAAGGCAGGCATGTTTATTATTGAGTATTAACACAACCTATTACTGTATCTCAGTCAACGCTGAAGGTATTGACAAAGATGAATTCAAAGCATCAGCATGCACTTCTGCATACTCACTGTGGTTACACTGGGCTCCGTAGTACCCCGGGAGGCAGGCGCATTCGCCTGTCACTGGGTGACACTCCTCGTTCTCTGCAGAGCACTGACATACTTGGTTACAGTTCTTACCATACGTGCTCGGTGGACAAGCTTGGGGAAGAGGAAATGTAAACCAATAAATTAAATTTGTCTTGGTAAATATAGCACTCAAACAAAGAGCAAGCTCAAATTTATTAAATAAAATCCCTGCCTACAGAACTATGCTGTCCTCTGGGACTTTGGATTTATTACATTTACTTGGGGGTTACTTCACTGCCTGATTTTGTTTCGTTCAGTCAATTTGTGCCCAACTGTCAAGGGCCAGATACAATTTTCTTGTCACTAGAGAAAATCATAGGGAAATGTCAGGTAAAATTGACTAAAATAACAGTATAATTCACAAGGGACCAGGTGTACGGATAAAGACATTCTACCTTTTGCAGGGAGTTTAAACTTGCAAAACTGCTTTAGCACAAACATTTTTATAGGTTGTATTTTGTCTGCTACAGCTACATTGTCTACATTTTTTGGTTTTTCCATCTCTATTTGTTATATTGCTGCTTACTACAGCGTTTCCATAGTTCAGATCCTCTTCACAGGTAATGCAAACTGGTGTAACAGAACAGATGTAACTGACTGCTAGTAACACAAGCAAGGCTGAGTTTTGCTGTTCCTTGCCTAAGAAGGTGGACTTAGGCTGTGCTTAAGGTGGGCTGCCCAGATAAAGTTATGGGATGGGAGAGGTTGTGCAATCAGGAGGCAACAGGAGGGCAGCCTGCAGCACTGGGCTTCCTCTCTCTGCTGCGAGGAGCACTAAGGTTTTTAGAAGATCTTATGAGTCAGACAAGCAGCAGCTATTGCTGGATGGAGGAGCAATATTCATCAATCCCAAATCCTGGCTTTTCCCCCAAGAGTGGCATAAGCAGCAGCCAAGCCTGGCCTTCAGCAAAGCCACAAGGGGCAGCAGCACCATTACCCTCTTTCTGCCCCAACTCAGCACGTGCCCAGGGCCAATTACAGTGGTTACTTACATTCCTTCTATTAATTAAGTTGCCTTAGTCGTGGATCACGATTTGTAGTCTTTTAGTAAAAGATATGGGACACAAAGTCAGAATTCTGCAGCCGGGGTCACAGAATAAGCCTGCTTTCAACGACAGCTCCAGACGGCCAAATCCAGCATCGAATAAAACTAGATAATGACATTTCCATGAACTCTGATAGGCAAGAATAGAAGTTCTCTCACGGGGAAAAGGCCAAAAGAAAGCAGAGTTCCTGCTTTACCCACGGCAGAATGACCGCCACGGAGAGGGAGCTCAGCTAAGTTGGCACCTCCTCTTTCTATTTTTATCGAGTTCAGTCCCCAGTTGCTCTCTGCCAGCCTGAGAGCTGCAGATCTAGATAAGAAAAACCTTGCGAACCCAAATAGTACTAGGAAGAGAGGACAGAACTGGCTAGGTCAGAGGGTCATCGACAGGCAGCAGAGGGGTGCAGCTGTATTCCACACACTGGCTCTAGTCCATCTTTGTTACCGTAGAGTTCCTCTGCCCTTGCTTTTCAGGCGTAGATTAACTCATCGTTTTATTTATTTAAGAAATGAATTGACCTCCTGTAGTTTTTACCAAGGAAATTATTTACTTTCTTAAAAAGAACTTACTTTTTTCACAGCTGTAGCCAGTAAATCCTCGCGGACAGCCACACTCTCCAGTCACGTGATGACAGGGGGTACCCGCAGGACAAGTGCACCGCTGGGCACAACTCAGGCCATAGTAGCCAGGCAAGCAAGCTGGAACAATGGAACAAATTCTGGTCAGAATAGGTGGCAGAGTACAAGGATGATGGTTTGAAAGCTACCACTCTGCAGCTGATCTGCTGCAACTATCCATGTGAGCACTTCAGAACCTGCCCAACAGTGAGGCCATGCAAGTTGGCACAAATCTGAACAAAGTTCCAGTTAACACATTACCCTTGAGAAACGGAGATAAGAGCATGTAGAAAAAGGGTTTGGAGAGTAGGGTGAGGGGTGGTACTTTTAAAGCTGCTTTAACTGGAGAGAAAAGCCAAGTCTTTAGAAACCAAAAGCTAGATTCAGCATGGACTTCAGCTAGTGATAGTCAAGACTGGGCCCCCTATGCCATAAAGAACATCCATACTTTCAAAAATTGTAGCAGTTCAGAGAGGAGAATGAAATATGTTCTAAATAACTCCAGGCTGACTTGCAAAGGGGAGAAAAATTATCTGAATCCTACAGAATTGATACAACAGTTCTATGAGGTGGTGAAAATTTCAGAAGAGTAACGTAGGAATGAAAGGATCCTGTCACTGGATCAGAATCTAAAAAATAAACACAACAACAGGAACTTTTCTTCTTAAACTCTTAGCAGATACTCACGTTTGTCACACTGCCTTCCTCGCCATCCCTTTTCACAGTGACACGCTCCAGTCTGATGGTTGCAGGACAAGCTGTGCACACAGTCACACTGCTCCTTGCACCACTTCCCAAAGAATCCAGACGGACAGACTGAGACAGAGGGAACACCGGTTCTTTCTACTGCATGTAAGGCATCAGTCATTGACAAACAAATCGGTATTTTTCTTCTTGGATCTAATGATGTACACTTAGAAGACTGTACGCCCAGAAAATATAATTGAAAGAGAATATACTAAAAATATTAAAAGCATTTAGTATTAGTTATTAGTGAGTCTCCATATGAAAATTTGCAAAGACTTAGTCGTAGTCTAGAGTACAAATCCAGATAAGGTGGTAATGTCTCTACAGAGGTGGTAATGTCATTTACTTTTACACTCTCACGCGAACAGGAAGAGTGTATACATAAGAGTGTATCTCACGCGAATAACCGTTTCAATAGTGAGAATACACCACGCCTAGGTATTACTTTCCACCTCATAGGTCCTTACAAAGCAATCAAAGAGAAAAGCGTGGACTGACGAAAAGGGAGATCCACTGCAGAGGTCCTTACACTTCACACTGATGATTAAAGCTTTGTGAGCTCTCAGCACTTTAGGATGCATCAGAAAATTGCTTGTGGCTTGCAGAGTCGGGGCAGAACGGAAAGCAGATTTCAATTCATCTGATACCTGCTGCTTCCGAGGCTTTTATTTAAGGGACTCATACGGATCTAAACATGGCAGACATCTATTTTAAACGTGAGCAATTAGGACCATAGGTCAGGCATGGAAGTTAGAATGCAATTTGGACCATTGCGGTCTGTTTTCCTGAGCTTCCTGCAGTGACACACAGAGAAGCAGTAGCACGTGGTTGGGGGCACGCTGATCTGGCAAACTCTCTTTATGACTCACTTTCTTTAATATATTCTTCTGTGTATCTGTAAGGTAGAGAAATACCTTTGTTTTCTTAGCAGGCACGGTACAGAAGTAGAAAGCAAATAAATGATTTGGACAAGGGCATGTATTTGTGATTGAGCAGACCTGTCTCCAGAGCTCCTGAGAAACAGGGTGAGCTCTCATGTTTTCATGATTTTATTGACCTACCGAATAATAAAAAAATTAAGATATAAAGAATGCAGAGAAACTGACTCCATATTCTAGAGGCAGAAAAGGCTGACTGCAGAACAGACTGTTAAAGAAAAGCGTTAGAAAGAGCAAATATTCGTACCAACATCACAGTGCTCTCCAGTCCAGCCTGAGTGGCAGATACATTTGCCTGAAAACCGGTCACAGGCTCCGTGGTGACAGCTACAGTTCTGCTCACAGCTCTCTCCATATTTCCCATCCTCACACTCTGAAATGAGACCGTGGAGACTGACAGAAGGCAAGACTGGAAGGGGTCCAGCGAGATCAAACTTACGCCTCTGAAATAAGGCAAGCCATCTAGGCTGCTCTTAAAAACCTTCAGTAATAGACACTCTGAAACCTCCCTAGGCAAACTCTTCTAGAACATCATCCTTTTTCTCCTGGGGAATTTCACTTATTCTATTTTCTCCTCATTTTGAGACCTTTTTCTTTCTTCCCTGTCCTTGAGAGACAGAGAGAATACTTCATTCCTCTCCTTTGTCCAACAACTCTCTACAGATTTGAGTATTAGTATTGTATCTCTGCTCAGTCTTGTCTTCTCTGACTAAACAACCCCAACTCTTTTAATCTCTCCAAACAAGGGATTCTACACCTAGATCTCTCTGGACCTCTCCATCTCGTCTCTTTTTCCTGGACTGTCTCAAATCAGATCTCACCAGAACAGAATTTCATTGCAGAGTGCAAGAAGGACCTGAAGTAATGAAGAACATGATAAAACTCACCCAGCTCACACGCTATCCCAGTCCAACCCTCAGGACACAGACACTCGCCCGTCACACGGTCACATGTAGCTTGGCTGTGGCAGATGCAGGGCTGTAAACAGTTTACACCAAACAAACCAGGAGGACAGGCTGCAGATAAGAGTTTTAAATTAAGAGGTGCAGGAGAGCGCAGGTAAAATACAGCCTTCCCCAACTCACACCTGCTATAACCCCAGCGATTGTGTAGGTACTGTTGGAGTTACAACAGAGTAAAAATGGAGGCCAGGACTTTCAAGGAACTACATTAATATAAAACTGGTCTGGGAGCAAAATATGCAAAAGGGCAGATGACAAAGACAAATAACTACGTCCCCCGCACATGAACTCAAAGTTTTCTCTTCAAACTTACGACAAACGTTTCTCGGGTCCTTTCTCTTAGCTTTCTCAACACTAAGGAATGTAGCTATTGATTTCCCTGTTTTCAGTTTTCCTTTGTACAGTGCACTTAAAATCACAATTACTTTTGTAATGAACAATTGATCTTGCTATCCACAGCTGGCTGATGACGTTTTGCAGTTTACCTATTTTTAATGTAAGTAAGTTTATTAAAACCCATCACAACAAGTTCCTGTGGAGACATGCTAATTTTTGGCACCAAAAATACACACACCTCCTATGTGCTGAAGCGGTAACTGTCTGAGATGTTACCAGGAGTAGGTTCTCACTCTGCAAAAGGATGGTCACTAGAGGATACTGGGAGATTGCTCGCTCATCCTCACACATTTGTACCACCTCCTTGCTTCCAAAGGCTACAGAAACCACCAAATATGTCATTACAGAAAAAGGGTACGCTTGACAACTTCTTTATATTTGACGATGGCTTTTTTATTTTTGCATGCTTGGTATTTGAGGACTTTCAGCAAAACAGGAAGTTTTAGGCAGTACTGGAGATATCACCATGAAGAAAGGTTTGGTACATCTCAGCTTTTTATTCCTCCACGGAAAGCCCTTTTATCTTAGGTTCTAGAGAGGGACTCCTTAATTTCTATATTCCTCTACCTACCTTTCACCCTCTTTACCTAACTGTCCTTCTCCCTATTACACTTAGCAGCAGCTGCTTGTTTGGAGGTGTTTACTCCAAATCCTAGAGCATCCACAGCAGCAAGCGTACCAAGTCTGGCAATCCCTGTTCCACGGCACTGTTAGGATGCCAGGGAGGTGATAAAGCAGGGAATCTCGGCGGGGGCAGGCACAGAAAAAAAAAAAAAAAAAGGTTTCTATGACAGAGACAGTTAAGCTTTTGCTGGTGGCTCGGATATAGTGGATTAGACGTAACACAAGCCTCAGCACAGCCTTTCTTTGGCGTCCTCCTTCCTTAGGTCTCCTTGGAGTTTGTGTTTTGAGTCTTACATATTGGTATAACTGCCAGTGCTGAAGCTCTCAATGCCTTTCACATGTTCTGGATTCAGCCTACTATGTCTGGAACAGCCTAAGGTAATGATGCGTATCAGCAGAATACATGGGATAGTGAAGTAGACTACAGAAAAGAAACAGTTTCACTTCTGCGTCATAAATGGAAGTTTTCTGGACTTTTTCCTCCTTAATCAGACAGACTTCACAATCAGCTTTTGTTTCAGTTTATGATTCAGTTTCAGCCTCTTCTGCCTCGTGCATGCAGAGCTCTTACACCTGGCCCCGCAATGTGTGCCCTGACACGGTGCACTCACAACACCCACGACTCGGAGATTGTTTTTTAATGTGCTGAACTGCATTATTGTGCGGATACAAAAATAACGACAAAACAGTGCACAGAGCTGATAATTTAAAATACCAGTGGAAACCCTCTGAGCCAAAGTTTTATTTTTCTTTTCTATAATCTTCTGCAGCAGAAGTGAAATCCTGACTGTACCTTCTTGGCAGGTGGCTCCTCTCCATCCCGCTGCACAAGTACACGTCCCAGTTACATGATCACAGAGCGCTCCATTGTGACAATTACAAGCGTGACTGCAGCCTTTCCCGTAACTGTCACCCTGGCAGGCTGCACCGAGAGAAGTCCATAAAATGCAATTAGAACACATCAAAGGAGGCATCATACAGAGCAAATTCGAGACATAACCCACTTCTGGGGAAATCAGTTTGAAATTGGCTTCTGACAACACACTTTTCACATCTTAGAGGAGCGCAGGTTCACATATTAACCATGCCTGACACTAAATAATGTGGCTTAAAAATATGTATCATAACACATTCTGAACAGATTTTTATCAAAGACTAGAATCACGGGGGTGATGGATCAGCTGTCATCCTCCTGCACTGCGGAATGTCTTTGTGTTAAACTAATGGTCCAGCAGAACAGCCAGCTTGACAGCCTGGATATTTATTTGCATCCTGGTAAGAGAACTGACAACTTCATTGTTTTCATTGTTCATTTTTCACAGTTGGATGCATTAGCTCACCCAGAGCCTTATTCTTTGGTCAGAGAGGAGTGATATTTTCAACACACTGAGTTAAGCAGCTGGCTCCCAGGTGAAAACTTAGCACGGCCATCTCGCAAACGTGCACTTGCTTCAGTGCCATTTCCAACTGCGCTGGTGCTGCCCCCCATGAAAAAGGACAATGATAAAATCCCTGTAATTTCCATTGCACTGGAGAGGTGGATCTCTTTAAATGGCGGAAAGCAGAATATACTGTCATTCTGGTTTCCTACGTATCATCCACAGAATACAGGAGTAGATGATGAGGGAAAACGTGGATAGTCTTATTAATTTTTTTTTTTTTTTAAATCTATGTTACGGAAGTTCTAATTCTCTTGTATGAAGCTGTTAGAGCGTCTCATCCCTGCTAGATAACTAGCACTGCCGGTACACACTGGAGAACCAGAAAACGCCCTGATCCAGGAAAGTGTCCTGTACTCCCTGACTGGGACATCTCCACGATCAGACCCAAATTATGACTTTTCACAAAAAACTCTATGCCTTTGAGGGGGTCATCTGCAGAATACAGTTCTGCATGGAGGACTCATCTCTTGGGCCAGAGCAGAAGAGTGAAATTATCCCGACCTCAAGGGTGATCTGGTTGACAGCATCTGAGCTATTCACAGCCTTTTTCTTCCTATCTGAGGACTTCTGCCTTCCCAGATGCAATTCTCATAGATACCATTCCTCCTAGAACTTCTTTTCAGCACTGTTCATTTTTGTCATCGCTTGGACCCCATCCATACAAAAACTACAAGAAAGTGCAGGAACTTAGTCACGTCACAGTTAAAGTTTGTTCTGCAAATGAGGCCTGTTTGCCAAGTTAAAGATTCAGCCCATCTTACAGAGCTTTGGCTCAGTTATGGGAGCAGAACTAAATATTTCCACAATAGAGATCAGGACTGTATCATAACCAAGCCAAAGGAAAAAACAGCTCATAACCAGGTCCCCTGACTAGTTACTAGTGGTTGGTGTGAGGTTTCCAGAGAATGTGGGCAAAGCTGCTCTTATACTCCCTGAGAAGACAGAGTTTTGCACTGAAAATTCTGGAAAGAAAACAGAAATTTCTGCAGAAGAAAATTTAAGCTGTTCTCATGTCGTGCATACAAACTTTTTTAGCTTCTCTGTGGGGCAATCCTAACTCTCAAACCACTTTTCTGAAGAATAAGATAACAAGGGATATATATAATCTAGTTTATCAAGTGCCTTAACTGAATGTACAAATATCCCAGGGACTTTTTCTCCTGTAGTTGTGATGAGTGTAACGGAAAGAAGAAATGGCAACATTTAAATTATTAGACTTTTTTCTGCTTCAAACTTTTCCTCTCAGTGCCTTTCCTTGCTAAAACGAGGAATTATTCATTTGCGGTCCTTAGAATCCTTTTTACACTCAGAATAAGGAACACGTGAAACTGGAGGCCAAAATATTCAGGCAGGAAGTCAACATCTGTCAAAAGCGTATGGGAGCACAGGGGAAAGACATGGACTAAGACACAACAGGGCGCGCAGAAGATTGGATTTCATGCAACTCACATAGATTATTCTCCCTCAAATTAAACTGCTGCTTTAAAAGAACAAGAAATTTGTAAAATCAAATACTCAGATATTATGAAATATCAAAACTCCAGTTATCAGTGACCCAGACACAGATATTGGGAGCACTGAGCTTTCTGTAGTCATTTACTCTACAAACCAACGTGGTTTCTCTACCACAAGGAGATGCTTCTGTGAAGATCCAGCTGAGCCCTAACAACTCCAGGAAGAAGCATTTTCAGTCCTAACAGAATTAGGGGCAAATTTAGTCACTGAACTCTAGTTTCTACAGTCTGTACACAAAATGAGGTGGTTTTTTTTTTTTTTTTGGAAACAGCTGAATCTGGATGAGTTTGTATACAGAGAGCAAAGGTCACGTCTCTGGCATAGGAAAACGTCAACGGTAGAATCCTCGCTTCTATATTGCTGAGGCATTATAACTCTCAATAAAAGTCTATTTATTTATTTTTAATATATGCAATATACCTTTCCTAAACCTCTTTCTTGGAAACCTAAAATAGCTTAGCTGGACACCCAAAGGAAAAAAAAAATACCCCCAACATAACCTTAAGCTAAGGCTTGGAAGAATTCATCCCAAATTATTGAAATTCATTTATAAGCAACTGAAAACAGTCTTGTAATACAAAGTGTTAGGCAGCTTTCACAAAAGGCATCCCTGTCTGTATCTCCCATAATTAGATAGCAGTTTATAGCATGCGCTGCATGGCCAGCTTAAGATCAATTCAAATCCCATGAGGTCAGAATTAGTTTTCAATATCCTCCAGCACATTGCCTGCAATCTGATTACGTGAAAACAAATGCTGTCCTTCCAGCTGTTAGAGCTAGCAAGTTCCAGGAAACGGGAACACAAACATTAAACATCGAACACAGACTGGCAGTAAGATGTGAGCATCTCCTAGGCCTGCCTGGGAGTCATCTGGGGATGTTCAGAGTGATGCTGCCGAGGTCTGAAGCTCTGGGACAAATGGTACCCGGATCCGTTCCTTCAGTGGGTTTCCTCCTATTCTCTAGAGGGTGGTCTTTGACACCTGAGAGCACTTACGGCTGAGCAGATACACATCCTAACCAGAGAAACGCGCACAGTGAGGGAGATTGTGCAGCACCCAAAGGCATCCCCCTAGCGCGCCGGCTCCGCGAGGGGTGCCAGGTGCCCACGCACCCAGGGGCGAGCCAGCAGGAGCTGCCTGGAACCACTCGCCCTGCAAAGCAACAGGCAGGAAGAACTGACCTTCATTTACAAATATTAGTAAACCTACTTCACCCTGCAAGATGCTTCAGCTGAATCAATCATTTAACTCCATCAGGTAGTCGGCATCTCATTTAAACTTCTGCAAAACAGAAGCTGCAAGAGCAGCAGGTAAACGCCAGCCGCATTGGATGCAGGTGGGATGCAGACCTCTAATCACTCTGCTGGTCCCAGCTCTCCACTCAGTGGCAGAACAGGAGCGAGGGGTTCATTTTATCCCTCCTTATTCACAAGCTCTTTTCAGAGAGTTGTCAATTTTCAAAGCTTTTTCCTTTGCACACTGGGATTTCCCTAAGCCCACAGCTTTTAAGAGCAGCACAGTTGAGACCGAATCAATTTCTGTGTAAATTAGGTTCCCTTCAAACTTGCTCTTCTCCCCCATTCTCAAGTCCCTCAGCAACACCTCAGTATAAAGACAGTGTCATTTCCGGTCAGGCGATCTGAGAAGGGGCTACTTCCAAATATTTTATTAACTACTGCTGTAGGACAAGGCTTAAAATCAAAAGGAAGACTCACTGTTTAGCCAAGAGAAACACAGGTTACCCTTCTGCATTGTTAACTGACCTTGCTCTTTACTTAAGGCAAAGGAGGCCTCAAAGGCTTTGGCATCTTAACTAGCGTGAGGAATAAATCAAGCTCAGCATAAAGCTCTAATGGCCGCAGTGCAAGAGAATAAATAGTTTCTTTCTCATGTGAGTAGAGAGGGGCACAGAAGGCCTTTGACAAAGAGCCGCATTTCTTAATTGAATTTAATGAAATATGTAGGGAACAAAGCTTCCCACCCCTAATACAGTGTAAAGACCGGGGAAGGGCCAAGGTGACAGATCGCTAACTTCGAGGTTCGTCGGAAGGGCAGCAAAAAATAGGTGGTGACCAAGAAGCAAACATCACACCTGTTCAGCAACACCTTGTCTCCTCTGAAGCATGTCTACACGCCAACAGCTTTCTATTTATTTCTCAGAGTCAGCTCAACTGCCTACACCCACAGGGCAGAATCACAGTTATCTGCTTCAGATGACGGGACAAAAGCTGGCCAAGGGGCCCTACGTGGGGGCCACAAGGAGGCAGGAGGAAAGATTCACCAGCATTGACTCTCCTATAAATCAAGAAGGGCAGGAGAAGCCCTCTGCAGGAAAAAAAACGGCTGTGTGAAGGGGTGAAGGAAGAAGGAGAGGAGATGAGCAAGTGCAGCAGGCAGGTTGTGTAGTCGATCTGCTCAAACAGGGCTGGTTATATCATAGTGCATGTCTGGAGAAGAGCATTGCTTCACTAAGAGTATTATTTCTATTTTCTAAATTAAGCTGTAAGTTTCTATCAAAGAAATCTGAACAGCTGAGGGTTAAAGAGATCTTATGAAAGTGTTCACCAGCAACAGAAGTTGGCTCTTTGTACATTGCTGCTTTGGATCATAGCTCTACAACACAACCTTCAGAAGACAGACAGATTTTCAAAAGGGAAATATGGATCATGGTATCACGCTAAAGGTGAAGCTGAGGTTAAAACCTGAAGATCTTAAAAAAATAAAATTAAAAATTAAAAAAAAAAAAACGAAAAATACCTTTGCTGAATTTTGCTGATGGGCTCAATGATCTTCATATATAATGCCATGTAGCTAAGGGAAATAATTTCATTTCCCAGGAAATTTGGTGAAAAATTTCTCAGAAGAGCCCATTTTATATCTGCATATATAGAGACATACAAAAAACCTATTAACTCAAAGATTGTGGGAAATTCCAGGAAGTGGAATATTTTACAAATAACTTGTCATATTTTCTTAGTTGTATAACTACGTTATACAACTATTTTCTCATGCTAAAATAACAAAATAGCCCCAGATCTGATTTTTCCACATTCTGCATTTGTGATCTGTGGCTTTATGACTGGTAATTAGATGAGGTACACCAGAAACATAGATATACCATTTCATCTCTTAATGTTTCACAAAACTGAAAAACTGAAATTCATCATACAGCAGGATATAGCTCTGCTATTTAAAAACTAGTACTTATAACGTTTGACAAGTGCCAATAGAAGTTAAAAAAAAAAATCAAGTTGATTATTTACACAAGCAAAAATTGTTTCCTTTTATGACATCTTTGGAAAGGAATGTGACTTATCCAAAACCATATCCTAATAGGTCACCCTATATGCCTAAAAGAAACAAATATTAGGGAGTTGAATGGATTTGCAAACAAGGATCATGACTGTTGTATGTACATACGCTGGTCGCACTTTTCTCCCACCCAGCCGGGGAGGCAGTGGCACGTTCCTAGGACGTGGTCGCAGCTTGCCGCATTCTTGCAGTTGCACACCTGGTGGCAGTCAAGTCCAAAAAATCCATCTGGACAAGCTGAAAATGCAAAATAACCCTTTTTAATTGAAGGTCCCGTTTCTTCTTTGCATAAACTTTAGCTCGCTCAGAGATCTGCAAACACTGTATGCTGCTAACCTTCGACTTGATGCTTTGTCACAGCGTCACTCTGTGATTATACTTTTGAGCCAAGGGTGCTTTAAGGGTTAAACCTGCACAGTCTTGTGCTGTGCGTATCTCAGAAAAAACGTGACCCATTTTATAAAAGCAATAGATTTCTGCATAGAAAAACACAGCTGAAAATATATTTGAGAGCCATAAAACAGGAGAGGGAGGAATCTGAATTCACACAAGTCAGTAATTGTGCCTCTGTAAGGGATAGAGTAAAATAAATGATTCAATACTAGACCACCAGACCATCTCTGCCGATCTCCCTGTCTTCTGAAATGCAAAACGTACTCTCCCGTTTACTCTCCTGACACCTTTCTAAAGGTTTTCTAGCAGTGAACGTAAGATATATGGTTGCAGTTCAGTGCTGAAATGAAAACCTTGCAAAGAGAAGGAATAGAGAAAACAAAGATAAAATAAGTGTGGCAAAACTTCTTCAGAGAGCTTAAGGAACTCAGCACCATACCTAGGATGTGTAAGGAAGTGCAGCATTCAATTTACATCTTTACCACTGTTGACGGTAGAAAATAAGCCAGTGGTTTTCAGAGGGGCACATCATATCCAAAGTGCTGTATGACAAGGATGCTAAGGTGGCAATGCAGAGTTCAAAAATATTAGGAAGTGCCAAAATTAAACTGTCTATATAATCTCAATTTACCCTCTCTGTCTGCATGCATATATATGTGTGTTTGTAGATTATTTAAGTATGTATAATTATACTATACTCAGTAATAATAAATCTTTAGAGTCACAACTGTATGTCATTCTTTCCGCAGAACCTCGGAATCATTTAATCCCAGGAGCGATGGTGCTCCTCAGAGGGGCAGCTAGTCAACAAAACTTAGTGCTTTGTCCTCATTATCCAACATAAGCTTATATTTAAAACCCATTTCTCAAACTTCTACCATGAATTCAGAATGACTAGTTTCCCAATAAAGTTTTATAGGATGTTTATCACCATATGAGATTTAAAGACACCACACACAAATTTCACAGCTATCTACCAGGTCAGAGTAATAGCATTATCTATGGGCATCTCAAAATTTCAGACACTTTTGTCCCCTTTCTTGCCCTCTTTTTCATGCCCAGGCTTTTTGTTCCAGGCTATTTTTACTGTCATTTCTGCAAATGTAAACTCAGTCCTCTAACAGAAAGATTTCTATCTGTTTTGTCTACCAGGGGAGAAAAAAATCTGTATCTCTGGATATAGGCAGACCTGGACTTCAGACAGTGAAGATGGTAGTTTAACACAGAGCAACATCTGCTTTGGCTACTTTACTCTTACCATTTCTGCTTAGCTTGTGATTACATACCATTGTTGCATTTACTCAAAATCAAAAGGCTGATCTCTCCTTCATCCTGTTCAGACTGCAGCTTCTATTTTAGCATATGAAAAATATTCAGGTTACACTACTCTCCATGCATGTACTGGAGAAAACTGTCTCAGAAAAGTGGAAAAGTACCTCATACTGATATGAAACTATAAAGCATTAGTCAGCCTCTGCTTGGTTCTTACTGGTGAGAGAGCTGTTGAATCAAGCTGTAAGAAAGAACCGCCTGCACATGGTTTCAATCTTCATACATCCTTATTTATTACGCGTCAGTAGTGCGTATGGCACAGCATACAAGAAAGGACTTCTGCTACTTAACCCTAGGTAACTTCAAAGGCTGACAAGGTTTTCCCTTTGTTTAATTCAGGGACTACAGAGCATTGTCAGCTATTTTTAGACATCTACAGTATTTATTTTCCCCCTTTATCTTACTAAAATATCTTATTGGGCTATCTAACAATATTGATTAACTGCAGAAACCCCAAGACAGAAGCACAGTTAGTCTGTCCTGCAACAGCACCCATTTAGTCAGCAGTTCAAATTCGGACCTTCAGTGCTATACTTAACACGGGCTATAAATTCCTGTTATTAATACATCAGTGAATAAAAATACTGTAGGAAAAAATCTGAGACTCCTGCCCCTTTCAATTCTGAGGGATAATTGTGCAGTGTTTTGAGCTATGCCATCAGATCATGCAATGAACTGGATAATTCTTCTGCTGCTTTGATATTGCAACTTGACACTTGCCTTCAGTCATACAACACAACACACAATACCAGAGAGTAGTGGGGAACAAAATTAAACAAAATCACAGTACAGTAAAGGCACCTTGGTAGCTTTTTTTTTGAGCTGTGGATACTCAGCACTTCACAGAATGAAATCAATTATAACAATTACCCTCCCGAACAAGAACACAGCAACCCAGGTGCAGAGCAGGGCAACCTGTCTAACTTGATGTAACATGGCACATTTATAACAAAACTGATAGATAGCACTGACAGCCTACACGGTCAGATTTTGATTCCTTTTGATTTTGCTGGGTTGACTGTTGGTCCGCTTGACATCAGGAGCCCATGGAGGCCTAGGTTTCCCGCCATGTCAGATGTTTACATTTATTTGAAGCAAGCATTGATATATTTAGCAAATTATTACAGGAAGGGATTGGATTTCTTTCTTTCTTTTTTTTTTTTTTGACTTGCCTATTTAGCTGTAAGTGCATTAAAACCAAAGTCCTGTAGTAATGGGTGATTACAGTAGGCATCGTTTCTGGGGAAAATTACTCACATTATCTATGCTTTAACAGGACAGAGAAAGGACTTACATAACCATCTTTTGATGATTACTGCCGTTGCATAGTCCAGGAATGCAAAGACGTTAATTGCTACTTTTAATTTCAGAAACAGCTAGAACTTCACATGTGCTTCAGTTACTTCGTCCTTAGGCATATAACATTTTCCACTCAGACAAGAAAGATATTACTTGCTAGTTGCATTACTCTAAGAGAACTGAAAGTGATTCATTTTCTATTGGTAATGCTAGATCTTGTGCAGAATGGTATAATTTGCCAGTTTGATGAAAATGCCAAAAAAGTCTTTCCCAGGTGGTTCACATGGCCTGCAAGAATTCCTTGGTAGCTTTTTTTTCCCCCCCTAGTTAAATGGCCTATTTGCAAACCGTAGCTGCTTTGCAATGGAAACTGTTCTGCTCCTTTGATAGCTCTTTTGAGTACCAAATCAAACAAAACCCCAGAGGCAAATTTGGGGGCTTTTGCAATTTCAGCCTGAATCTGGACACCATGTTATCACAATGCATAATACCTGGAATAACAACTGCACTCTCAAAACGCTATTTGTGCGGGCGTGTATTTCAATATTACATTTTGTAAGGTGCCGTCTTCTCCTGGGACTTTGAACTTACAAAGCTATAAATGTTTCAGTTTCGCTGTTTCCGTGATGATGGCAAAGTCCTTCTCAGCCCTGGGATGAAGCGTCAGCAATATGCTAGATGTCTCAGGCAACTCAGCCAGCTGTAGGTCTAAATTCCTCTGGCGCATGTGAGAAGGGCGATGGTTCCAAGGCTCAGAACTTGGCCAATGTGGGTAGACTGTCAGGAGGACGGCAGAAAAGCACACACCTGCCAGAAGGACACCCTGCCAATTTCCAAGTCACTAAAAACAGAAGTGCTACAGCTCTTCAGAGAAAAGGTTGCCAGGAAGTTCCACCAAAGGCAAACCACCTACACATTTTCCTCAATCTTTATTTTTGCAAACAGCCAAACTATTCTGGATGAAACTTGCTACACATAATGGTAAAAAAAGGTCAGCTCAGAGCAAAGTCTCAGCATGTCTGAGACAAAACATGTACAAAACTGGGTCTTATGACAACTGCAAGGTAATCTTAACAATAAGCACTGAAGTCTGCTTGCCCCTAACACAATCCTCTTCCAGCAATTTAAAGAGATAAACATGCTCAACAGAACTGATTTGGAAACTGAGACTTGTATTTTTTTCAATAGACATCATCTAGGCTTCCCAGTATTCCTCACTCCTGCTTTGGTAAAGGATAGTTAGCCTCCTCGTC